TGCCGTCATTTCTGTTGGAATTTGTTTACCTTCTATAATTGAATCTTTGTAGCCTTGAGTGGAGGCCTAGGCTGGCAAGAGCAGGTGGAAAGCTTTGCTACCTCCGTTGCCGGGGAAACCCAAGCCTCCCTCCTGCTCTCTATAGCTATAGACATCTTGGTTGGGTTTATTTGCATAGTCGTGTTGATTGGCTGGTGGGTGTGGCTTGTGGGGTAGCAAAGGCATGGTCAATTTGCATATTACTCTTATATTAGATAGGAGATATATATGTATATTTTAGAGGCCCAGTGCATGCAATTTGTGTACATGGGGTGTGTCCCTCAGTCCAGCTTGCACCCTCTCCAATATGGGATCCCTCAAGGGATGCCTGACTGCCCATTTAGGCCCAATCTTGGTAGGATCAGGCCTAAATGGGCAGTCGGACATCCCTCTCACAATCCAGGACTGGTGGCTCCCAAATGCTCGTCTGCCTGCCTTCCTGATTACCCCTAACTGCTTTTGCCTGCCTGCCTGATCACCCCCTAACCACTCCCCTGCCAGCCTGATTGCCCCTAACTGCCCTCCTCTGAAGGCCTGGTCACCCCTAACTGCCCTCCCTTGCAGGCCTGGACCCTCCCAACTGCCCTCCTCTGCTGCCATCTTGTGTCCACATGGGGGCAGCCATCTTTGACCACATGGGGCCATTCACCTTGTGTGTTGGAGTGACAGTCAATTTGCATATTATTCTTTTATTAAATAGGATATATATCTATATATATATATATATTCATTTATTTATTTATGATCATAGTTACTTTTATAATGGAATAAGGAAGCCAAGTGAGCTTGTGAAATAACCTGCTTTATTCTGAGTCAGAGTTTGTGCACACTTACTGTCTTTCCAGTGAAAATAATGTAAGCTTCAAAGATGAACTGACCTTTCCGTTTCTGAACAGGCCTTTATTGTGGTTTTTTAAGTTTGACTATAATAAAACTTTAGTTATTCAGACTAATATTAACTGAGGACAACCAAGTAGAATTAGTAAAAAGTTGGCCTTATAGAATATTTTCAAAGCTATGTTTATATTAGGTTTTGGACCTTTAAATATGTACAGTAATAAAAACATAGTAGCATCTTAAGTTTTTGTGTATAACAGGCATTTTTAATTAGAATAGTAGTTAAGTAACAATAATACAAGTCTCATTATTTATTGACTGCATCCTCCTCCGTTTCTTTTCATTATCAATTATCTCCTCATTTTCTATGTCCTTTTTACCTCTTTACCTTCCATCTTATAAATAAGTTCAGATCTTTACCATTATCCCAGATTTCCCTTTTCAGCTGTTGCCATATCTCTTCACATAAACCTACTAAAGGCAAAATCCAGTGTAGCATTTGACAGTAATGACCACATCTTTCTTTTTGAAACTCCTTTTTATTTATACCTCACATTTTTCTTCCCTAATTTGTCTGTTTTCATTTTTATGTTCTTATCTGAGTTTTCTTCTGCTTTCTCTTTAATGTCTCATTCTTTTTTATTACACTGAAAACTCTCTGAAATTTTTATGACTCCAGATGTCTCTTGTATTCATCTGGGTCTGAACTTCTGGTCTCCAAACCTGTGTTTCTAATTGTCTTGGTGCCCTACACATATTTCACATTCAATATGTCTCACCTTCCTGGAAATTCATCATGGAACTTGCTCCTCTTTTCTATTCTATTTTTTTTTTAATATTTTTATTGACTTTTAGAGAGAGAGGAAGGGAAGAGAAGAAGAGGGAGAGGGAGAGAGAAAAGGAGAGGGAGGGAGAAGGAGAGGGAGACGGAAAGGAAGAGGGAAAGGGAGATAGAAAGGAAGGAGAGAGAGAGAAAGAGAGAGAGAGAGAGAGAGAGAGAGAGAGAGAGAGAGAGAGAGAGAGAGAGAGAAGAGAGAGAGAGAGAGAGAGAGAGAGAGAGAGAGAGAGAGAGAGAGAGAGAGAGAGAGGAGAGAGAGAGGTAGAGAGATTGAGACCAAAACTTCGACTGGTTGTCTCCTTCATATCTGCTATGGGATCAAGCCTGCAACCTGGACATGTGCCCTAACAGGGAATCTAACCGACAACCTTTCAGTGCATGCGTCTATGCCCAACTAACTGAGCCACATCAACCAGGTCTGCTCCTTTCTATCCTTTTTTTAAAAAATTATTTTTATTGATTATAGAGAGTAAAGAAGAAGGAGAGAGATAGAAACATCAATGATGAGAGGAAAAAATCTATTGACTGTATCTTGCATGCCCCACACTGGGGATCAAGTCTGCAACCTGGGCATGTGCCTTTGCCAGGAATGAACCTTAATCTCCTGGTTCATAGGTCAATGCTCAACCACTGAGCCATGCCGGCGAGCTTTATTTATTTTTATTAATGGTAATGGTGTCTACTTTATTGTCTATTTACACCTCCGTCCTTCTCGTCTTTCCTTCCCTCATTCCATCACCTAATTGGTCACCAGGATATTAACTGAACATCTTTCTTTTTTTTTTTCCCCCAATTCATCATCTCTTCTCCATCTCAGTTATCCTGGCTTTTGTTGAAATCCTCATTTTTTGTGTGTCTGGGTAATTACAATAACTTCTTTTAAAAAATGGTTAGATGAAGGACTTCTTAATGACCGCCCTTTCTCTGGTTTCACAGCTTTTGAGAATTTCCCAACTTAAATGTTTTTATTGGCTCCCCATTATTAATAACGTAAAATTTGGACAACTTAAAAATGTCATGGGCCATACTTAACTGCTTCTCTAAGTTTTATTTCCTGTCAAAATTCACTTTCCTCATTAGTCACATTACTTTGTTTTCTGCAGAGGCTGAACTTTTTTTTTATTATTATTACTTTGTGCTTTTCTTTTTCTGGGAATTCCATGAGCCCTTTCATTTCTGGTAAATTTCTACTAATTATTCAGGATTTAAAGATGGGAGCACATAGCATAGTGGTTAAGAATCGAGGCTTCTAGAATAGTATCTTTCTTTACAGAATTGTTGTAAATATTGAATGATGTAATGTAAAGGGCTTAGAGTAGCACTTGCCACAGAGTATACCAGTACACTTAATAAATATTAGCTTTATTCACTCAAATGTCACTTTGTTTTGTATTAATCATCTATTATTGGATGTTAATTCTCAATTAGAATATGAAAGCATTTAGCAAAGATCAGGGGTGACTAGCAAAGAAAGCCCCTGGTCAGGAATGCAGACTCTGCCCTCCACACTGGGCCTTCTTCTGTGATACTTGAGTAGATGCTTACTGTTGAGCTCCTTGTAAGAAAGGCAGTAGTGCCCTAACTGGTTTGGCTCAGTGAATAGCACATCTGCCTGTAGACTGAGCGGTCCCAGGTTAGATTCCGGTGAAGGGCATGTAGCTTGGCTGTGGGCATATCACCAGTAGGAGGTGTGCAGGAGGCAACTGATGAATGTTTCTAGCTCTCTATCTCTTTCCCTTCCTCTCTGTAAAAAATCAATAAAATATATTTAAAAGAAAGGCAGTAGTGGAAAAGTACCTAAGCTGCCAGCACAATAGAAACCACAGTAATGCTCCTTTCTTCACAGTGACATACTTATGTAATACCAACCTCTTAGAAACACTCCAACAATGCCTTTTGGGGTAAAATCCTGCATTAGTTTCCAGCTTGGCAGCTCCCTTATTTTGACATCCATAGCTCTCTGCTGAGATGATTGATGCCATCTTGGAGCCCTGTTGTCTGCTATCCAAATGTCATTGTTTAGTTGGAGTAGAATAAAACCAAGAATAAATGACATAAGTGGGGATCCTACCTTTGGATAGCAAATGGATTTATTCACACATTGCAGATTCCATTTAGTGGCAGCCTGGAACAATGGATTGAAAGCATGTTGTAGCTATGTCCGGGATCAGCTGGAAAGAACAAGTACCCTGATAGAAATCACAGGAGAGACAGAGAAGATTTATATTTGTAACCTCTAATATTTCTCAGCCCCCAATTAGTGGTTGAATTACCAGGTGGGTTATTTATTTTTTGAAGAATTATGGAAGATAAAGCTGCATAAGGAAATGGGGCCATTAAATACAACCTTGAAAGCCAGGCAAAGCAATTTAGACATAATCCAGAAGTTAGTAGGGTTTTCCAACAGAAGAGTCATGAGTTACAAGTGGTGTTTGGAGAAGGTTAATCTGCACTGATTTGCAAGATTATTTGTGGTGGTGAATTAGAAGTAAGAACACACTAGTGTTTGACATACTGTATATCCTTGATTCAAAGAAGCACTTTTCACATACTAGCATTTTTTGGTATTGACCATATCACCTCTATGCCTAAGTTTAAAATGAAGATAATAGTATTTACCTCAGAGTTGTTATGAAAATTAAATGGGTAAATAGATGTGACACACATCAATCAGTGTCTGACTTGTAAGACATTTCAATTAGTGCCTAGTATATAGTAAGTGCAGGCATAGTGTTAGCTATTATCACTATTACTATTATATAGTCAATATATACATTTAATTTCGTGGTGGCGTTTTTTTATTTGTTTTTGTTTTTTACCTGAAATCAGTAGGTTTTTTAATATAGATGATATCTTCAAATGGTGAGATTAGACTAAATATGAGATAATGGGGGCCTACAATAGGGTGATAGTATGAGAATTCAGAAGTAAGTCTGAGATAAAACAAGTGACATGATGACATATTGGATATAGTATATTAAGAAAAAGGAGCATTTAATGCAACCCTCAGGTTGAAAAACAAAATTAATGAAAAATGGATTGGTTTAGGGAGGAATTGTTATTTGATATACGTAAAATACTTAAAACAATGCCTTGCACATAGAAAGTACCGTATGTGTTAGCTATTAGTAAGTAGTAGGACTACTTAAACTGGTTATGTAATTAAACTTAATATAACATAATTTAATTAAAATAGCAAAATATGAATAAACATCTCATATAATTTACTAGTAGAGAATTCTTATGTTCAAGGAAAATTACAGTATGTGTTTTAAATATTTTTCAGTATAAATCATCAAGGAAGAGTTCAAGTGGCAATGAAAATGATGAGGTGAGAAAAGAGGGTAATATTACCAAGTTTTTAAAATATTTACTTTTCATATGTAGTTGGCGCAATCAGAGTAAAATGTAATCTATCTTTCATTGTCTTTGTTATTGATTTAATGCCTAGGTTTTCTCAAGCAATAAAAACTGAGCATCACCATATAAGTATTAATTTAATCATATAATATCTGTATTCCAATAATTTCTGTAATTCCAATAGTTCAATTTTAAAATTCTACCATTCGTCTTGAAATTGAAATTCAGAAATTCAAAATTTTTACATTTTCCTAAATCAACCTAGTGGTCAATTGAGATTTGTTTGGAAATTATTAATCTCTTTACATAAATGTTGTGTTCTATTTTACATTTAAACTTAGATTTCTACAGTTTGTGCATTACTATACATTTTTTTACCTCACCATTTTAAGTTATGCAGCAGCCTAGAATTTTTCAGATGATAGTCTCACTGATACTTAAGCTTTGTGTAGTTTGTTTGGAGGTATTGGTATTTAATTTTATGTTGGTTCTTGGCAGGGCTTCTGAAAACTCCTTTAATTTTATGAAATGCAGAAAACGTTTGCTGAACTCTGAACTCTAGTGTTTCAGCGTGGCTGTTGCCCCTGTCCCTTTATATTTTTTATCCACTTTGTCCTGCCTGCCTCAATATCTAATCAGTTATCAAGATATACCTTTTTTTGATACTGAAATATTTTGAATTCAACCCCCACCTGCACATCTGCTCTTTCTGTCCTGTCCCAGGCCCTCATCATTTCTTGCCTTTACTACAGCAGTAGCATCCTTGTTCACCCGTTCCTTGCTCTAGTACTTTCTCCCTGCAGCCACAATGATGGTTTCAAAGAACACAAATATGATCAGGCCATTCCCTTGCTTAGAAAGCTTCAGTGTATCCCCATCATTTGGAGGGTAAATTCTAAGTCCTTAGTCAAGCCCCTGCTTATATCAGCCTCAAATCCCGATTTGCCCTCCTTTCATCTTACTCCCCAGAAATAGGGAACTGCTCAAAGCTTTCTGCATTCTTCATTCATTGCTTTTGTGCCTTTGTTTTGTCCTCTCATCTTAGAATGCTATTCTTTTCTTTTTCTGGCAAACATCTCTCTTAGTTCTTGTTACTCAGAAAATTTGCTTATCTCAACCACTGCCATCATCTCTCCAATTGTCCTTTATGTGTGCCTCATAATATATCATTCAAAACTCTTTTGTTTTACTGAGAGAAGATTGTATTACCTTTATGACTGAATCTATTTTTCCCTCTAGACTAATCCTTGAGTGGATGATTTTACTAAATTTCTGTATTCCTAATGTCTAGCACAGTACCTAATATACACTGAGTAGCCAGATTATTATGATCTCTGAACGCATAATAATCTGGCCACTCATAGTGTGTGTGTGTGTGTGTGTGTGTGTGTGTGTGTGTGTGTGTGTGTGTGTATTAGAGGCCCGGTGCATAAATTTGTACATGGGTGGGGTTTGGCCAGCCTGGTCAGGGGTTGGGGACGGTGGTTGGCTGGCCTGCTTGCTGGTTGAACTCCTGGTCAAGAGGACAATTTGCATATTAGCTTTTTATTAAATAAGATACACACTGAGTGGCCAGATTATTATGTCTTCAGAGATCATAATAATCTGGCCACTCCGTGTATAGTAAGTAGTCAGTAATCATTTGTTGAATGGTGAATAAATGTCCTATGTGGTGTGCATATTCAAGATTAAATGTTAAGATTTTTGTATTTGGTTGGTAGTAGTCATGCAGAAAACATGGGCTACTTAATATTATTTTATGCAATTAAATTCTTTGTAATTATTTCTAAGCCTATATTACCTACACATACTTTCCCAGGTAAATGTTTTTATTTCGGGTGATGGAATTTTTGCAAGTCTTTGTGCACTTGCCTCATATTGTAACATATTAATGCCATTTTCCATCAGAAATTTATCTTAACATATGGATCTTTTCTAAGAAATATGAAAAGATTTTTCTTTTGTGATATATAAAGGAAATAAATTTATAGGAAAATATTATGTGAGTGGATAGCACTTCTAAAACTTTATAGTGCTTATGAATGGCTGGAGGGCTTGTTGAAATACAGGTTCTAATTAAGTAGGTCTTGGGTGAGGCCTGAGATTCTGCCTTTCTAACAAGTTCTCTGAGGATGCTGATGCTGCTGGTTCAGAGACCACACTTTGAGTAGCAAGGTGGTAGACAGTATTTTCTAGATTTTCTTTAGCAGTTGATCAAAAACAATTTTCAGTTTTCTTTTTATATGTCTAAATTATCATTCATGTTTTAATTTCATTTTTCATCTTTTTATTTTTATATTTTAGCAAGACAGTGATAATGCTAACATGTCACCACAATCTCCAGTATCATCTGAGGTACAAGTTCTTTTTTTTATATGTGTACATAGGTTTCTTTCTTCTCTCTTCTCTCTAACCTCATCTTTTTTTTTTTTTTTACAATGCAATTTATTCACCCATAATTTAGAAAGGCATTTAGGTTTATTTGTACAAACCTAGCCTATAAAGAATTCTAAGAACACTGCCATATTTTTGAACAAATATTCATAATAAATATAACAAGTTACTTATTGGAAAATGCTTATGGATCAGAGAAAGGCATTCTATATATATATTTTTTCTTTTGTATAATCATATTTTGAAGTAAATTATAGAAACAGCTTTAAAGTTTTAAATTTGCAAAGTACTTCAGCATTGTGCAATGACCTTTGGTTTTTCTCATAGCCAATTAGGTCTGAAAGCAATGCAAGAGAAACTTCCTTTTTCCACGAGAAACATCCCTGCAGTGGGTTGTTCCTATCGACAGGAGGTTACACATTTCCTAACATCATAGACTGGAGTTGTATGGGGAAAATGGGGAGATGAAAGTTAGTGAGATCTCAACCAAATACTCTAGTGCTTTGAATGGTTGATTCTAATCTAGTTAAACCTATTGCTTTACAACAAGATACAAGTTTTTAAAATTCCAAAAAGTATCTCTTCTAGTTCAGATTACTTTATTTAGTATTCTAAACATCTTTTGGCATTAGTAAATAAATGATCATGCACTTATTTGGTGAATTTAGGACTTTTATAAATGTTTAGATGATCCAAATTCACCATATAACTTTGGTTAATTAGGTAGTACTTTTTTTTATATAGTTAGTGTTAAATATTTTTTTAAAGGTAGGATTATTTGTTGTTTTGGATGAATTGAATTGTAAAACTTTTAAATAGACTTGGATATTAGTTTTATAAACATGTTTCTAAATTATTTATATGATAGGTAAAATGGTTTACATTGTTTTGGGGAAAATTTTAAATTAAGGTATCCTAAAATTAGTCTTTGTCATATGCTTTTGTAAATCTTTAACTTTTTGTTATAACAAATGTAAGCATATAGCTGACTACTTATTTGCCTGATTGCTTTGTGATTTTATGATCGATGCTTACAGGGAAAGTATTAGTGCCAGTTTTCTCAAGTAAATTACATTGTTTATATAATACATTTTGCTTGCATTTGGATAAATAAAATTTTGTCTGGGAATTCATAATATTTTAATGAAAAGAATGATAGTCATAATATTTTAACCAAAAGAATGAAGGCAAACTGTGAGGTTTGTGAGCAAGTTCAACTGACATTCAGCTTGAACTGTATATCACATGTTAACCATAAAATCCACAGAATCAGCAGAATTCTGGTTGCTTTAATTTCATGTGTGAAAGAAAAATGATAAAAGATATTTTGGTATAGTACTTTACTACTAACAAAGGCTTGGCTATACATTTAAACCTAAGAGCAATCCCATGAGCCAGGTATATTAGCCTTACCATTTTACAGGTGAAGAGACTGATAACTTTGCCCAAAGACTCCAGTCAATAAATATAGAGAAGTGACTGAAACCCGGACTCTATATACTTCACAATTGTTGCACATAACTAATATGTTCCTAAAATTACCTTACCTTACATTTACAAAGTGCTTTCTTTTAGTTATCTCAGTTAATCTTCACAACACCCCATTTTTAAGATGAAGAAACAGTTTCAGAAGTTAAATATTTTGCTTAAGACTTATCTTAAGCTTTCTGACTCCAAGTTCAGATTTTTAAAATTATGCTACAGTTCTTTCCAAGCAGTAACTCTGTGAAAGCACTTTGAAGCAATGTACATTCTAATAGAAGACATAATTTATCATCTATCATTCTGCAACTCCTGTTACTATGAATGTGTAGATTTGCCTCATATTATCCACTAAGTTTCAAGTCCATGGTGAATACTGTATAAATGTTGCTAATTTCACTTATCTTTTCATTGATGTTTATTTCATTTGGGGGGAGACATTAATTTCTTATTTATTCAAAAGTAATATCTATTTTATACACTTCAATAATTTTATTTTTAATTATACTATGGGAAATACTTAAAGACTTATGTAATCAGGTCAATTAGCAAATATTTATACATCTTTTAAAAATGAAATTATCAATTTGAATCGAAATGCATTTGACCTTTTCTGCTTCACTAATCATGAAAAAAACAAACTTTGCAAAATTGGAATGGATATGAATAATTAATTATTTTGAACGAAAAGAGTTTTTATTTGTTTTCTGTTTTTAGGAATATGATAGAACTGATGGTTTTTCACATGGTCCTTTTGGCTTGAAGCCAAGATCAGGTAAATATATATTCTGCATATAAAATTTATTGGTTATATGTGAAACTAGAGTTTCCAAGCTTAAATGGGATTTGATTCCATAGTTTTAAGTACACATAGATTCTTTCCCCTCTCCTAAAAGTAATTTTCTCTTAACCTTATTTGTCTTTCCAATTCCCATTCCCCATTTCTTTCTTCCTCTTTACCTTCAAGCTCCTGAAACCTCAGCTTTTTGCCTTAGATATACTGCAGTCTTATTTCTACTCTACTGTGACTGCTATTAGAATGACCACTCTGCCAGCAGACCAAACACTGTTTGAAATTATAGCACACCATTATATTGTGGTTTTAAAAAGGGATCTTTTCGCATTTGGCAAGCCCAAAAGAAAATGGATCCATGTTACTTGGCAAGGTATTGAATTATAGTTTTTATTCCTGAATAACTTTATTGACCTTCAAGAATAATTTCCTTTTTCTTTAAAGATAATAAAGGCTGATTTATGTTTAATAATTTTTGACCTGGATCATAAGTTTCTAAAAATGTATGCTTAAATAAGAACATATATAGGTGGTAGAAATAGTTACATTTGTCTTCCCTGTTGCTTTCAATTATGCAGATAAGTAGATTTTTAATTATATTCGGTAAAAACTATTTAGAATGTATTAATAAGTAATAGCATTTTATGTAATTCTATATTGATTCTTTTTATCATGCCTCTTTTCCTACCGATGGTTGATCCTTCTAATTAGCTTTGTAATAAGCTAGGAAATTTCTGTTTTTATAGCTTTTAGCCGCTCATCTCGCCAAGAATATAGGGCAGCAGATCCTGGATTTACAATGAGGAGAAAGATGGAACATTTACGGGAAGAAAGAGAGCAAATACGACAACTTCGAAATGTAAGTTAGATTGACCTTTCAGATCTGCTTTGTAGAAATTGATTTAACTTGGAAAATTAATAATTTATATATAGATTTTCTTTTCAATGCTCTCTATAAAATTTTAGATTATATCATGATTTGTAATATAAACATAAATATATAAGACATTTAGGTAGAATATCTGTGATTTATACCCATTTCTTTGTAGAATCTTGAATCCAAGTTGAAAGTAATTTTGCCTGATGACATTGGAGCTGCACTGATGGATGGGGTTGTTCTTTGCCATTTAGCCAATCATATAAGGCCACGCTCTGTAGCTAGTATTCATGTGCCATCACCAGCTGTGGTAAGATTTGTCTACAATTTTTTAGTTTTCTAAAGGAAGATAGAACCTTTTGAAACTGTCTTTAAATAATGTCAATTCTGATTAATTTCTGTTTAAATATGTCTGAAAATACATCTTTATTTTTCTTACTTTACAGCCTAAACTGAGCATGGCAAAATGTCGAAGAAATGTAGAAAATTTTCTTGATGCTTGTAAAAAGTTGGGTGTTTCACAGGTAATTGTTATTTTCCTAACAAAATAATAATTTAAATATTAATTTATTACATGCATACTAGGGTTAATGCTCTTTAAATATGAAAATTATTACCTTCCATAGGTACCTTCTACTGAGTCCCAGGTTTAACTATAGCAGCTCTCTAATGAATGTTTTAAAGTTGCTTTGAAAGTCATTTAGAAAACAGCTCATATATGGGAAAATTGACATCATACACATCATTGAATAAGCATAACTTAGTGGCCATATTACAGTTTGGTTTTGATTATTGCTGCTATCATTTTTTTCCTACTGGAGGACATTTGGACTTCTTTGCACAATAACACACTCTGGTTGGAAGATCTGTATTTAAGGTGAACGGCGTTTTTATTTTTTAAATATGTTTTTATTGATTTGAGAGAAGGAGGAAGAGAAAGGGATAGAGAGATAGAAACATCCATGAGTGAGGAACATTAATCAACTGCCTCCTGCATGCCCCCTACTAGGGATTGAGCCCATAACTCAGGCATGTGCCCTGACTTGAAATTGAACTAGTGTCCTCTTGGATCATGGGTCTATGCTCCACCACTGAACCACACCAGCCAGGCAAGGTGAACAATGTTTTAAACTTTATTTAACATGTCTAGTTGGAGATCTTAGTAACACTGTGATAATTTATCACTGGACGAAATTTGTAGGAATTGGCTTATGTTTCACATAATAGTTGCAATACTATAACATTAACAAAGCTATATTGCCAATGTATAATGAAAATGAATAAGCAAAATATTGTTTTTTGAAAAATCTAATAGGCCTAACGTCAACATGACTGACATTTGAGAGGACATGATATTGTTAGCAGATCACAATCTAGTTGTGATTTTCAAAATTTAACTTTTAAAATTATTTTTGAGACATAACTGACATAATAACTGTGTAAGTTTAAGATTTTAATGTGTTTATTTGATACACCTATATAATAAGTTGGGCTTTCAACTGTGTCATTCATAACAGACTAATCTGTAGATTCCACTTTAACCTCTCTTCTCAAGTGAATAAATATAATTTATGTATATGTAGAGAGCCAGTTAAATTGCTATGTAATTTTGAAACTATATCATATTCTCTTCTAATTATATCTGCTCTATGGTTGACATGTTTTACTATTTTAATTCTTAACCATTTTTATTTTAGTTCTTTATTTTTTTGTATTGTTCATCTCTTAGTGGGAAAATAAAAAGTTAGGAAGATTTTTTCCCCCAAAATAATATTGTATTATACACATTTTTCTGTTTTTCCATTTAAAAAATATATATTTTATTGATTTTTTTTACAGACAGGAAGAGAAAGGGATAGAGAGTTAGAAATATCGATGAGAGAGAAACATCGATCAGCTGCCTCCTGCACACCCCCCACTGGGGATGTGTTGACCGGAATCGAACCTGGGACCCTTCAGTCGGCAGGCCAACACTCTATCCACTGAGCCAAACCAGTTTCAGCCCATTTTTGTTTTAAGACTCTTGGCGAAGGACTTCTCAATGAACATTTATTGAATGAATGCATGTTTTCAAATGAGGCAGGTGAGGCACCGAGAGGTTAGGGAACTTGTCCAAGTTCACACCGTTACTAAACACATGCAATGAATCCAGATATTCTAACTCCAGAACCCACCTTCTTAACTTGGTTACTTTTCTTTTACATGAAAGAAAAGCCAGTCCAACATATTACAGACACCTTCAAGACACATTTGGCAAGGAGAGTAAATGAAAAGGTCTTACAAATACTGTCCTTCTTAATATACCATTGTCTTTTCTCTACAGCTTGTTTTAGGGCAATATTACTGCCTCACCTATCCTCAACTAAAGGATGGTGGGCTATGGAGGAATCAGTCAAGTCCCATTTTCTGAACACTTTAAGTTACTGGCAAGGATTTATTAGCCATTTATATGAATGCTTTTATGAACAATTCTATGACAAATCTTTTGTCAGTTTTTTAATTGGATTGTTTTCTTATTGAATTTGAGATTTCAAAGGCTTTTATCAGATGTATGATATACCTACAAATATTATATCTAAATCTTTGGCTTGTCTTTTTTTTAAATATGTTTTTATTGATTACAGAGAGAGGAGGGGGGGAAATAAACATTGATCAGTTGCCTCCTGCCTCTCCCTCACTGGGGATTGAGCCCACCACCAGGGCATGTGCCTTAACCCGGAATCGAACCAGTGACTTCTTGGTGCATGGGACAATGCTCAATCCACTGAGTCACATTGGCCTGGCTGGCTTGTCATTTTATTCTTATGTAATATCTTTTGAAGAACAGCTTTATGTATTTTTTACATAAAATTTATCATGGTGTCAAAAAGAAAAAAAATCTTTGCATGAATCAAAATCACAAAGATTTCCCCCATGTTTATTTTTAGAAGTTTTATAATCTAAGATTTTACATTTAGATCTATGATCAAATTTCAATTACTTTAATAGATGTAGAGCTATTCTTTTTTTTTTTCTTCTTGCATGAACTTTGGTATACTGTGTCTTTCAAAGAATTTGTCCATTTCATCTAGTGTGCCAAACTTATTATAAAGTTATTTATTACTTTAGTATTTATGGAATCTCTTTTCTTATTTCTGATATTGGAAATTTGTGTATTTTCTGACTAATCTGGCTAGAGGTGTATTGATTTAAAAAAAAAAATCTTCTGGCCAAAACCGGTTTGGCTCAGTGGATAGAGCATCGGCTGAAAGGTCCTGGGTTCGATTCCGGTCAAGGGCATGTACCTTGCTTGCGGGCACATCCCCAGTAGGGGTGCTGCAGGAGGCAGCTGATCGATGATTCTTTCTCATTGATGTTTCTAACTCTCTATCCCTCTCTCTTCTCTCTGAAAAAAAAATCAATAAAATATATTTTTTTAAAAATCTTCTGAATTTGGTTTTATTGACTTTTTCCCTATTATTTTCTGTTTATTTTTTTCTCTCACCTTCATTATTTCTTTCTTTCTGCTTGACATTGGTTTAATGTGCTGTTTCTACTTTCTAAGGTGGGAGCTAAAGTCATTGATTTTGAAAACTATATTCTTTTCTAATGTATACTTCACTGGTTATTTGAATAAATAAGTAAAATATTAGGAAAGCAACTAATGCTTCAGTGAAATGGAGATTTAAAAAGATAGTTTTTGAGAGTTCTTGATAAATGGAATATTACAATAGTATTTGGTGAATGGTTATTGGAATAAAGAAGAAAGAGAAGACTATTATAATTCTCAGGTTTATGTTGAGAGAGATTAAACAGTATATTATTCACAGGTAAAGAAAGATAAGTTAATTTAATGAGGAAGTAGTTCTGTATAGATATGTTGATTTTATGTGTCTATTGACATCCATTTGACTGTATCAAGTTGACATTTGTATCTGGAGCTCAATAGAGAGATTTTGGCAGAAAGTACATTTTTAAAAATAATCAGGATGGATGATATAGTTGTTTTTTTGGGAATAGGGATCCAATCCTGCCAAGGTTTCTAGTATTTTAAGAAACACTGGACTTAAAAAAAAAAAGTGGACAACTAAAATACAGAACAACCATCATTCAGAACCACTTGAAATCTGGCTGAATGGAAGTCCTACAACTAGAAAAGCAAAGAAGAAAGCACATTGAGACTGGTAGGAGGGGCAGAGACATGGTGGCAATTTTTAAATTAGGAGAGATACCTTGACTGTGGAGGTCTCCTATAAGGAGAAAGGGGTCCCAGCCCACACTTGACCCCAAACCCAGGGTTACAGAGCTGAAAAGAGAAGTCTCCATAATTTCAGGCTATAAAAACTAGCATGGACTGTGGTTGAGTGATTCGGTGGAGACACAGGCAGTTCCCTCTTAAAGGAGCAGTGCACTGACATACTTGTACTTGATTGCTCTGGGTTCAGCACTGGGGCAATGGCTTGGCGAGGGGGTGGGGGTGTATCAGGCACATACATGGAGAAACTGGATTGTTTGGCATCAGAGCAAGAACTTGGGGGCAGCTTTCTCTCAGACAGGGGTGTTCACAGGGGTCATTGTTCCTATGCTGTAATATCTCCCCTCCTCCCATTGCAGAGCTGACTGGCAGTCATATCTGAGTTTCCATGAGCTTGGCTCACACTGTTTGCTCCACCCTAATGATTCTCTGACACTCTGCTTCATCCAGTTTGAAGCTCCACTCAAGTTCTTTGCAGCAGCTTTTCCATATGAATAGCCTGTCCTGGCTTAGGCTTCATATTTTGCTATAATCCGTCAAACAAGCAGCAGCTCGTGCCAGTGGGCCTCATGCTTATCAATAACAGGCCTAAGACCTGGAACTACAATCAGCTTGCCCTGCTACAGAGCTTGGCTGCACCTGGGCACTTCGAAGCCCAATACAAGTAGTAGCCATCTGCAGATAGCTCTGTATCTCCTGCTGTGTGGCCCTGAGCAGTGGCTGACTTTGCACCTCTCAGGATGCTCCAGAGCCAGTGTACAGCTTCAGACCATACCAGATTATAACTCTACACCTTCACAAACAACACACTCCAGGGGCAGACTCAGTGAGCACAAAAGCCGCACTGAACCAAGTCCTGCTCCATAGGAGTGTCTCCTGCACATCAGCTCTTCCACTGTAGTTGTAGCTGGTCCTCATAGCCAATTGGCTTGGAATTCAATTCCTCCCAGTGACCAACAACAGTCAAATCTCAACTACAGCAAGACTGTGCACACAGCCGACACAGGGGAGTACCTAAAGTGCATAGCTCAGGTGACTGGGGAGGCTGAGCCACTGGGTCCTACAGGCCACCTACTACACAAGGCCACTCTGCCAATTCCAGGAGACATAGAAGCTCTACCTAGTAAATATCAACAAACACCAGGAAGCAGCCAAAATGTGGAGATAAAAAAACATATCACAAATGAAAGAACAGAAGAAATTTCCAGATAAAGAGCTAAATGAAATGGAAACAAGCAACTTACAGGATGCAGAGTTCAAAACAATGGTTATAAGGTTGCTCAAGGACCT